CCCCAAAACCCCAAAACCCCAAAACCCCAGGAGCTTCAATTACATTTTATTTATGAAATTAATATAATAAATAATTTTTTAATAGGGATCAAACGATTTAAAATTCATTAATTTAATTCAAATTGCTATTGCTATTGCTATTGTTGTTTTAAATCAATTTTAGATAGACTCAAGCTACTTCTTTGCTGATCATTCTACTCCTGCTGGTCTACTCTCATGTCAATATTAAAGCTTTCAACTTTCTTAATAGGTGAAGCTTCATTTGTAGATTATTTCCACTCATTCGGAGAAATCACTGTTCCTTCAATGTAAATCGGTCTTGATAATAGTCTGCTTCTCTATAATCCAGTCATTGTTTCATTTTAACTATCATTCATCTGTGTCTAGGCACTGTTACTAACTTGTGATTTATTTGTATTCGCCATATGCCACGAATTTATTTTCCTTCTATTCTAGATTTTATTCTCTTAGTATGATTTATAAAGATTTGCAGATTCCAATCTTATTCTTTTGTGATCCAGTATTGTTGTATTGAATGCCTAGTTCTCCTGACCACAGCTTTGTTCTTTTTAATTGATTCTGTACACCATAGCTTGGGTCTAAAAACTGTTAGCTTTAAATTCTTATCTCTATGGATTCAATGAGCTCATCAAACCATATTAGTTACTTTTGCTAATGGGTATTCCCACTTCATTTAGATATGATAGAAATTTATCAGAGACTAAGGATTTATTCATTTGTCTCTTATTAAGTTGCTTTGTACTTTGAAGCTAATTATTCATATCAAATTCTTCTTCAATAACATGTCCTTAATTATAATTTCCTCCTATTTTGCGATACTAATCCTGGCTGTTAATAGAGTAATAAAGTGAATTTTGAGGCTTAACACTAGTTGATGGTCTAACTTTTCTGCCTCTATTGCCACTAGAATTTATGTTTACGCCAGCTGAACTTATGTTTCAGGATTGATTAAACCTTTGTCCAAAGGCCACTGAGTAATTTTCATCAGCAGCCGCAGTTGTTGCTTATGAAAATGAGTCACTCATTTTACTAGTTTCATGATTCTAGCAATTAAATTTAAAGCCACCAATCATACTTTTCTTCAATGGCTTTGGAATTATTGAACTCTTTTCTGTATAGAAAGTCCCTCTCTTTGCCTTGCTCATCCATTCCCTATTAGGCTATTCATCTAATTTTAGCTCGTAAAGCTCTACATTTATCTGATCAAATAATGATTGAGTGTCTCCCATCATATTACTTTTATTAAGTATAGTTTCCTTGTATTCCTAAGATATCTATGACTAGTTGATGTAATTAGGATTTGTATTATTGCCTGATTTTGATTCTATTGTCTGCTATCTCAATCTTAAATTATCTTTTCTCTGTTAAATTACAGCTTCAATGTCAAATATTTCTCTAGGCCTAAGCTTCTTTACACTCTTTTTGAAATCTTCAAGCATCTATTCTTTCTTGTCTTTCTCCTTATCTTCTAAGTAAAGAAGCTCATTTACCTCTTAATCCATTTTAACATTTGCTCCTATCTCATCCAGCTTTTTTAAAAAACCACAATTAGTTCTTACATCCTGAACTCTTTCATGAAGTGTGTGATGGTGAATATATTTGGATTTGTTATCTTTGTCTGATTTAGAGTCTTCTTCTGGCTTCTAAAATTAAACTTATAATTTTCTCTCTTCATTTTATTCAATCTCCCATGTAGGTCCATAATTTCTATAAACTTCTTCTTTTTCTGATTTTGCCTTTAAATTGTGAAAAATCTTTAATGTCTCCTTTATTTTCTCAGTAAATTCCCTGGCATCCTTCTTTTTCACATTGTTAACATTCGTTAAAATACTAGTTGTGTGAATCTTCTTCTTACCTCTTCCAGAATTCAATTTTTTCGATGATGATTAAGATAGTCTTGCAGAAGTTTTCTCATCAAGAGTTTTAGTTTTATAATGAGTTTCATGAGACTGCTTTCTTTTTCTTCTTTTTTCTTGCTTGCTCTGAATTTTTACTCCTAAGTTATAGATACTTCTAAGACATTTTTAATTAGTTTACCATGGTTCTAGCTTTAGGTTAGATTCTTTAGCAGTTAAGTCCTTGATATCCTTTTAGTAAATCATTTTGATATATTCGTCAACATTTGTTGGATCAAAAGTAATTAGGTTATCTCCAAGTATTTACTTCAGGTCATCAAGGCAGTAATATTTTTAGTCATCAGTCTTTTTCTGGATTCTCTCGTATATTCTTGTCTTGAATTAGTCAAGAGTTAGTTAATTATCTGTTAGCTATAAGAAAAGATTTCAATCAATGTACTTTAGCAAGTCTCTCATGTCACTAACTTTAAATGTAGTGTTTTACTTATAGAAATCATCTAATATCTTTTTACTTAATTCTAAAAGCAACTCCTCATCCTTGAGCGTATTTTTAAACTGTTACAGTCCTAGTTAAGAACATTTTTCTTTGCTTAATAGCATTTCAATAGTTTACTGTCTCTGTTTTCTCTTTTACTTAGCAATTTAATGATCTTTATCTGCTTAAATATCGTCTTCATTCAGTTTTTCTTTCTGTCTTACTCTATAGTCTTATATTTTTTCTTATTATAATTCAGCTTGTAGTGCTGAAATGTAATCAAAACCTTCAATATCATCCTAAGCTTGCTATTTTTCGTTTTACTAATCCTTTGGCAATTTGTGAGTATAATCATCAACAATGATTGAAGACTTTGGTCTCCTTGACTATCTGGCCAGTCTTTCAATTTGTTCGTTTTTTAAATAATCATTTGACTGATCTCTATTCTGATTCTTTTAACCAGCTCTTTAAATTTTTGATTTAAGACCTGTTGATTCCATCTAAGCCCCACCCTCAAGAGATAACTTCCCAAAGTATAATTATCTTTTATTCTGTAAAACTGTTTGGAAAAATTTGTTATGATTTTTCTCCAATTACTTTTCAAACCTTTGCTATTATATTGAAAGATTTCTAAAGGATTTCCTCATGTCTTATTGTACCAAATATATAGCTGAGAAATCATACTTTCCTGATGCAGGTGGAGCGTTTTTGGAGTTCACATGCATTTTTACGATTCTTTATTTTTAACAATTTAATTCATAATTGCTCTTTGCTATATTTACCTTTGGGGTTTTGGGGTTTTGGGGTTTTGGGGTTTTGGGG